CTCATGTCACTACTTGATTTATTTATGGTATTTATGCAATATTTTGTGGCATACAAAATTTGAATGTTCTGAATAAATGTTGTTTTTTTCCATAAAGACTGACAAACCATGAAAATGCAGAAATGACCAAAGTTGAATTTAATTGAAAAAATGTGGATAAAAGCATTGTTAAGCAAATAATATTGCTTGGCTTGCAAAAGTTTTTGAACATTTAAATTTTGCATGCAGGTAATATTGAGCTAATTTCCTTTGTTATTTGAACAAAATTATTGGATGCAATCACATGACTTAGTGTCCCCACATGACGTATCTCCAAGTTATTTTCAGAGCAGTTTTTATATTTTCCACAGATTATATCTAATAAAACGGAATGGGCAACAAGGATTTTTACTGGAGTGTGATGATATATTTATAATCATGACATTGTGGCCACAAAACGAGATGCCAGACAATTGTCACAATCAGGATACTTCAAAAGTACATTTTTTGTCTTATTAATAATTATCTCAGTACCATGTCCAAATTGCTACAAATTCAATTTCTTCGTAATTATCTCACTACCATGTCCAAATTGCTACAGATTCAATTTCTTCGTAATTATCTCACTACCATGTCCAAATTGCTACAGATTCAATTTCTTCGTAATTATCTCACTACCATGTCCAAATTGCTACAAATTCAATTTCTTCATAATTATCTCACTACCATGTCCAGATTGCTAGAGATATTGTTGATTCATAATTATTTCACTACCACATCTGTATTGCAAGCAATATCTGTCAACAGCTAATAGGCTTATTTGCATTGAAACCAATTGCTTGGGTAAAAATGAGATCAGATTGGCTAATGAAGGCATGTATGACAGTCAAATTTTATGTCACATTGCCTAGAGTCAAATTTGAAGGTCGACATGCAGTTATGTTTCTTCAAGAAATGTTGAATATTTGTAAATAAATCTATTTCAGTGCAACATCATTATAGAATAAAAACCAATGCAATGCAGTACTTGATTTATATGAAATGTGAATCATGTTATGCTTGGGAGAACAAACACATATTGCATTGCTGTGTTATGTTGGTGAAATATAGCACAGCTTGTATGATATGTAAACACTGCAGTATAAGAATTTCATTATTAGAGATGTTGAGCTTCTAATATTTATAACTTTTAATAGTGCCAAGAGTATAACAGACTAAAAGCTATTTAATGATAACAAATTTGTTTCATATAATAGCAGTTTCATTTCTTACAAAGTACATCTCCCTTGCAATGTTTAACTATCATATCGGGACTCCAACATATCATTATAGTCATATACCATATTGTTACAGTCATATCCCATATTCTTACAGCAGTATATGATATTGTTACAGCCATGGTGTTTACCAAAAAATCTTTAATAATTATTGTTGTTTTAATGGATCAGCATGAAAGGAAATAAATGTTTATTTTATTTCTTGGCATACTCATCATTAAAACACTATTGGTATTGTATTACTATCATGTTAGTTACATTGGCATCATCAGTTTTCCAGGTAGCAACTGTAACCAACCCATCCACCCCTAAAAAGACATTTATACAGATTTTTTTATCATAAGAAATGTACATTCCATCCATTTGTAACTTAATACAGAATAAATGCTTCTACTTTTAGCAAACTTTGGCAAGCTAATGAAGATTTCTGATACTATCATTTCACACAGCTAGTCATTTTGTATATGTTTTGTATTAAAAGTGTCACATTCTATTTATGACATTTATATGTTACCTTAATTTGAAGATGATTTACATTAATGGGAGATTTTAAATTGCTTTCATTATAATGATGTAAGGTGAGAGGCCTGCTTTAATCTTAGTGATGTAAGATCAGAGGCTACTTTCATTATAGTGATGTAAGATCAGAGGCCTACTTTCATTATAGTGATGTAAGATCAGAGGCCTACTTTCATTATAGTGATGTAAGATCAGAGGCCTACTTTCATTATAATGATGTAAGATAAGAGGCCTACTTTCATTATAATGATGTAAAATCAGAGGCCTACTTTCATTATAATGATGTAAGATGAGAGGCCTACTTTCATTATAGTGATGTAAGATCAGAGGCCTACTTTCATTATAGTGATGTAAGATCAGAGGCCTACTTTCATTATAGTGATGTAAGATCAGAGGCCTACTTTCATTATAGTGATGTAAGATGAGAGGCCTACTTTCATTATAGTGATGAAAGATGAGAGGCCTACTTTCATTATAGTGATGTAAGATCAGAGGCCTACTTTCATTATAGTGATGTAAGATCAGAGGCCTACTTTCATTATAACAGTGTAAGGTGGGAGGCCTGCTTTCTTTATGATTATGGAAGATGAGAGGCCTGCTTTCATTATAGTGATGTAAGATGAGAGGCCTGCTTTCTTTATGATTATGGAAGATGAGAGGCCTGCTTTCATTATAACAGTGTAAGGTGGGAGGCCTGCTTTCTTTATGATTATGGAAGATCAGAGGCCTGCTTTCATTATAACAGTGTAAGGTGGGAGGCCTGCTTTCTTTATGATTATGGAAGATCAGAGGCCTACTTTCATTATAACAGTGTAAGGTGGGAGGCCTGCTTTCTTTATGATTATGGAAGATGAGAGGCCTGCTTTCATTATAACAGTGTAAGGTGGGAGGCCTGCTTTCTTTATGATTATGGAAGATGAGAGGCCTGCTTTCATTATAGTGATGTAAGATGAGAGGCCTGCTTTCTTTATGATTATGGAAGATGAGAGGCCTGCTTTCATTATAACAGTGTAAGGTGGGAGGCCTGCTTTCTTTATGATTATGGAAGATGAGAGGCCTACTTTCATTATAACAGTGTAAGGTGGGAGGCCTGCTTTCTTTATGATTATGGAAGATGAGAGGCCTACTTTCATTATAACAGTGTAAGGTGGGAGGCCTGCTTTCTTTATGATTATGGAAGATGAGAGGCCTACTTTTATGATAATGATGTAATGTATTGCATTCGTTAGTAATACTACTATGATGACATTATTGTTTTAATCAAGTATTGCATAAATCCCAGATTGTTTAGAGAGGGGAATGTTTTTAAAAAAAATACTCAATACACTCTTGACTCTTGCATACATTCAGAATAAAATTGAATTGAATATTCTTTGTAAAATTGTGTATTTTATCAGTGGACTCTGTATCAATCAACTGTTCAAGAAAAATCCAAATTGATTTTTGTATCCAAATTAATTTTTGTAATATCTAAGGAAATAAATATTTTTATATCTGACTAATTATTAATGGTTTCCAGATGAAGAATGTTAAATAACTTAAACTTTCATATGAATGAGAGATTAGTGATATGTCTTGTTTTTTCATCAGAAGTCAAGGTAAACAGTTTTGTAGAGAAAAGGGCAAAGTTTACATTCTTGATATGGTAAATCAGCTGAGGTGTATTTATAAAGGAAGATGCAGTGCATGCAAAAATACCAGTCCAACATTGAACAGCCATACCTTGACTAAATTTTGAGTTCATCTTGGAGTGGTCATAACTCCATTAAACTTTGAGTCCAATATTGAGCAGTCACAACTCTACTAAACTTTGACATAGGAAGCTGATCATCAAATTCCATTGAAAATTATAATTTTAGGACTGCATATAAAATTTTCTTGACATCCAATAATAATTAAGGGAAATGTGTAGAAACAAAACTGGGTGGGTCCATTAATAATGTGCCACAACACTAATAAATGATGATGCAGATCAACATTGAAATATCAAGGTGCCATTAGCATGAAGATACAGTGGCCCTAGTTTTTCCTATTTTTCCTCCATTTCTGTCAAACCTACCATTGTTCCCCTACATTCTCTAAAATGGCCCTATTAACCCTACATTTATTCATTTTTGTTAAAAATTATTACATACTGCATGAATGGCCACACAAAACTGACTTTAGATATGGTGGTTGTGATGTGTGATGAGTGTTTAAGAAATTAAAGGCAACCTGGACGTAAGAGACTGCTAGTATTTAAACAAGAACATGTTTTTTTTCTTCAAATTTTCAGTTAAATCAAATAAATAGGTTTTTGTTGTTCTGGGGCTTAATGCCATTTTTCAGCACACAATAGGCTATACATGGCGGCCATTATTAATGGTGGAGGAAGAAACTGGGAAATCCTCAGAAAGAACCACCGACCAATGAGAAGCTACTGGCAAGCTTTCTCACATCCACATTCACCGATTCTTAGACTCAAACCCACGCTGTTCTGTTTATTAGATAATTTACCCATAAATCTTTCTTTATAAAAACTCAGCCATGGTCCAAATAATGCAAAGCTGCCTAATAAATTGGTATAAAATATGATTAGTAGGTTATTGTACAGAATTGGAAGTAGGTAAAGCTGAAAATCAGGGTCATAACTCTGCTAAATGACATAAAAGCTGAACTTAGCCAATGTCTTATAAGTATCAGGCTGCTTACCAAATTTTTTGGATATTAAAAGAATTATTGTGCAGAAAAGACTGGTTTGGTTTAGTGATTCATAGCAAAGCAATGCAAGCAATTTATTTAGTCCATCAGTCTGTTGGAGTTACATGCTTACTCAAGGACACACCACAGTATCTTGCCCATTCAGTCCTATGCATGAATATAGTGTACCACAGGGAATCATGTACGGCCCCATCATTGAGATGTTATACCTTGCCCATTTAGTCCAATGCATCAATACAGTGTTCCAATGACCACATGGAATTGAGTATACTGCCCCATCATTAGGACATCTTTTATGCATTAATACAGTGTTCCACAGGGCACCATGTACTGCCCCATCTTTAAGATATTATACCTTGCCCATTTCAGTGATATGCATTAATACTGTTTTCCACAGGGCACCAGGTACTGCCCTATCTTTAAGATACCTTACCCATTCAGTCCTGTGCATCAATACAGTGTTCCACAGGGTATCATGTACTGGTCTGTCATTTGATGTGTGTGTACCATTTTAAAGTCTTTGGTATGACTTGGCCGGGGTTTGAACCCACGACCTTCTACATCAGAGGCGGATGATCTAACCACTAGACCACAGGAGACAGGAGCAGTTTCTGTCATTAGGATGTTATACCTTGCCCTTTCAATTCTTATGCATTTAGCATCATGTGTGTAGGATGTTATACCTTGCCCTTTCAATTCTTATGCATTTAGCATCATGTGTGTAGGATGTTATACCTTGCCCTTTCAATTCTTATGCATTTAGCATCATGTGTGTAGGATGTTATACCTTGCCCTTTCAATCCTTGTGCATTTAGCATCATGTGTGTAGGATGTTATACCTTGCCCTTTCAATCCTTATGCATTTAGCATCATGTGCTTTGACTTCAGAACCCTTTCACAGAAAATGTACATTTGTTGAAGTGAATGTTTTGATAGAGATTGTGTTTATAAAGTGAAATCCACTGCCAATTTTTTGCTGCCATGACATTATATAGTAATAAATGATGTATATTTTCATACAAAGTCTGTTAGTACTGATTCTAATTCCTTTTCCTTTTTTTATTTTCATATATTATTTAAGATACTAGAGATGCATGCTCATGAAGAAATGAAATAAAATAGAAGTACTTATTGCATCTAATTATGGTACACCAAAGCAATTAATTTTTCAGACACTTTTGGCTTTATCTTGGCATCCTAGATATGAACATGGATGTAAAAAAATTTGGTATCTTAGATATGAACATGGAGGTACCAGAATTTGGGGTCAAATATATTTACTTATATGTAAAGTATGCAAGAAATGCAAGCTGAATTAAAAATAGCCTAAACTTTCATGAACTTAGTTTATCTCTCTCTCTCTCTCTCTCTCTCTCTCTCTCTCTCTCTCTCTCTCTCTCTCTCTCTCTCTCTCTCCATATATAAATATATACCAGACAGAACAGACTGTGCTATCCCTGGATTCTATAGTAGAATCTTGATAATAGTGGGCAGAAATAATAGATTAATACAAACAATACTATCATACAGGTTACAGAAATTAAATTCGTACTCTACCGAGTTTCAAACCCAGGTCCGCAAGTAAATGGCACCCATCGCCTTGCCTGCACGCACCAACCCATATACCGTCACGACTAAGCAGGTCTGTTCTGTCTGGTATATATTTATGATAATTTGTAAAACAAAAGTCCTATATACCTTGATTTCTTTCATAGGAATCTTTAACGACTGTGTGTATATATGAGAATTAATTACTAGGTCGTCATGCGAGTGTGTCTGCTACGAACGAGCTTATATAACGATTCAGTGCCATCATTTTTTGGTGATGCATGCTTAATCATGACGGTATATGGGTTGGTGCGTGCAGGCAAGGCGATGGGTGCCATTTACTCGCGGACCTGGGTTCGAAACTCGGTAGAGTACGAATTTAATTTCTCTAACCTGTATGATAGTATTGTTTGTATTAAACTATTATTTCTGCCCACTATTATCAAGATTCTACTATAGAATCCAGGGATAGCACAGTCTGTTCTGTCTGGTATATATTTATAATAATTTGTAAAACAAAAATCCTATATACCTTGATTTCTTTCATAGGAATCTGGAACGACTGTGTGTATATATGAGAATTAATTACTAGGTCGTCATGCGAGTGTGTCTGCTACGCACGAGCTTATATAACGATTCAGTGCCATCATTTTTTGGTGATTCGTGCTTAGTCGTGACGGTATATGGGTTGGTGCATGCAGGCAAAGCGATGGGTGCCATTTACTCGCGGACCTGAGTTCGAAACTTGGTAGTGTACGAATTTAATTTCTCTAACCTGTATGATAGTATTGTTTGTATTAAACTCTATATATATATATATATATATATATATATATATATATATATATATATATATATATATATATGTATGTATGTATGTATATATATATATATATATATATATATATATATATATATATATATATATATATATATATATATTTACTTTTTGAGTGTTCTACTGCAAAATGCAGAGTTGCTGATTTGCTGTCATATATCAGCACAATTTGTTAGGAATTTTCAGCAAAGCAAACAACATAGGGTCTGATCTGCCAGTGCATTATGTAATAGCAGGTCATTGTCGTCTGTTTGCATTTGGAGTGTTAGGTGAATATACAAATAAACCATTATGCAGAATAATTTAGAATGAACTAAAACTATGGTTTTGGTGCTTTATTTAATAATGTGAAGTACAATACCATAGCTAATCTTTTTCTAATAATTTTGACATAACTGAAATGCAGTGTAAGGAATTTGCCAGAGTTACTTTGGTGGCAGATGGAAGATAGCTGAGTATATAATTTGTGTAATTAAATTTTTTTATTATAGATAAAATTTAAAATGATTATTTCATATATTGAATGTGTAAAATCAGGAAGAAGGTGTGAGACCAAAAGTTATGTAGTTTTTTTTGACATTTATTAGACTTGGTATAACTAGATGCTGACTGTCCAGGTACCATCCTTAAACCAGGTCTTGTAAGAAACTTCTCTGCTTGAATGCAAGACTTTGATTTTGATAGCTTAAAATAAACTTTGAAATACAAGAGATTTCAAAGTAGAAATTTATTTAGATGCAGATTTCTGTTAAATGTATAATTTTGTTCTGTAAAAATGTAACAGATTTAAGAACAATGACAAAAGGAATTTTGAGTTTGATCCAGTACTCGTTTGAGAAGTTTCAAAACTTTGGAGCCAGCATGCTATGTGACTATGTAACTTGCAACATCCAAGGACTTGATTCTGTTTTCTTGTTCCATACTTTGTGTAACATAGTTTGTTTGCATGAAAAAGACAAGGGAGATAATTCACTTAAAAGAACAGCTATGTTGCCTGATGGTATGAGTGTACTGTGGATTTCTAGACTGGTTATCTCTTTCAACAGATTTGGGTTGTTACAGAAATTTTGAACCGGGAACCAAAAGGTCAGTAGTATGCATAAACTGTAAACTCCATTATGCCGTTGGACATTATGGTCATGAAATTATTTATCAGTAACTTCATATGACTAGGATGTTTACTGACTCAGTATGGTTTCGTATCATTTAATTTTATATTGTCGTCTGAAAGGGGGATAAATAATTATTTTAATACTCTTCAGTCAACATGTTTTTTTTACAACTTGAGCCTTCCTGCTATGTTGAAGAGTCACATTTGAATGTTTGCTAGAGATTTAAAAATTAATCCTATTATATGAGCCAAAAATGATATTGTAACTCAAGCTTATTTTAATAAATATAATGAGATAGAAGTTATGCATATATAGATAATACTAGTAAATTGAAATTATTTTGCTTAGAATTTATGAATTTTAGTACTGCATATTTATACATAGTACATTATAACATTGTAAAGTCCGATGACAATATACTAAGAAAACATTTTAGTAGAATATAAATAGAAGCACTGTTAATTACTAGGTGACAGTACATTTTATTACCCCAGAACAGCAGGTCTTATATTAAACTAAGGACTAATTCTTAAGCAAAACAAGAACATGACTCAAGACATTTTTTGTCTTTCTTTTTTTTTTTTTTGTTTATAATAAACAGGGAACCAATGATAACAAATCACAAGGGAGTGGGTAAATTTATTGTTGATGAAATATATTTGTAGTAAGAGCATATAAATTACAATTGACTCATTTAGCCTTAATTTGTATTTTGCTTAATCAAGGTTTTATTAGGTACAGGTGATAATCTTAATCCTTGTGACAATGTACTATTGAAAAATTTATCCTATGTATTTATTTATTAAATCATATTTCCTCTCAGATTATACTAATATGTCTACATTAATATTATGAAACAAAAAAAATTGGGAATAGTGCAGGGATATCCTTCATTAAAGACTAAATTTAACCACTGCATTAGCTTATTTGGCTTGTCTTCAAAATAGTAACATACCTAATTATTTATTGCTTATGGTAACAGATTACAAGATATTTGGTAAAGCACTTTTGGTCAATGCTGGGTCTATCATACAATAGAATGATTACTTTTTAAAAAATCAAACCCAGAAATTCAACATAACACTTGACAGTCGTATCATATTTACAAGCCAGAATTCATTAGATTTCCATTCAGAAATGGTTTTCAGGCTTCCAGAATAGACCATACCATTGTTAGCTATTGTCTGAAGAGTTTATGTGAACATCTTTATATTTACATCATTGTAATGTATAGGGGGGTTGGAGTTGGCAGTTGAAACGGTTTGGTGATTTTAGTGATCTCAGAAATGATATCACAAAAATTAAATTTAACAGAATTTATTATATGCTAAAGTAAATGTGACCCCAATTTTAAACTGCATGGAAATACATTGACAAAACTGTCTACATTTTATTTCATATTATTACATTTCTCCCTTCTCAACATGCATCATAGTAAATGGGACTAAGACATGACACATTGCTTTGAAGTAAATGTTTTTTTCTTGGGGCAGCCATTGTTAGAAATTGATAAATAAAATGAATAACAAACTAAGTGGCTTCATTATTATGCCTTGCATTGAGATAGAGTGGCCCTATAGTCCATCTGTCTGTCCATTCCCACTTTTTATAACCAGCATAGTACTGCATTCTTACACACATCTGGATGCTACTTGAATTGCCTATTTTATGCAGATTGCCTGTCTAAAGGTTTTGTCCTTCTGATTCAATTTTGAGAGAGTTGTTGCCCTTTTCCCCATCACTAATGCATCATTATCGGATTATTGTATCCTGCATATCCAGACAACCTGATACAATTTTTGTGTGTTATAAAACTAGATATGTCTTTTATGGATTTTTGTTGCATAATTTCACTTTGGATAAATTATGGCCCATGACAATTAACTTGATATCCTCACATTGGATGTGCTGTTATCCAACATAGCTCTGTAACCATCAAGTCATTAAAACATAACACAGTTTGTGCACTTACTTAGAAAAAAAAATCTATTACATGTTTTATTCCCAACATTTTGAGATTGGTGAAAGATTTTTTCAATTCGTCTTGCACTATGTAATTAACAGAAACTTAACCCAGTCCAAGGAGACTAATAAATATGACGG